AATTTCCTACATTGCGTAAAAGACGAATAAAAAAATGATTAGGATTGCTTTTTAAAAATTGTTGTATAGAAAAGGGAGAAGCCTTATTAACTAAAAAAAAAACAAAGTTTACCAAATTATGGGAAAATTCCAAAAAAGCAAAGATTTCTAGTATTCGACTCGAAAAATAAAGTTTAATTGCATAATATGGTCTAATCTATTCAAGGTAAATAGTTTTAGCGCTAGATCAAAATTCGATTTAATTTACATGAAAGTTTGTAACACTGTTTACTACCGGGTATCGGTATTACAACTTAAATTATCGTTATGGTCTTAATTTGTACTTAAGGCTGATGCTGTATGGCACAAATGATCTAATTTCTTAATATAAAGTTATGTAACATATATTAATAGGTTAAACCCCGAGAAAATTTTGAAATTCCTTGTCTGGAAAACTTTAATGAACCACGTAGTGAATATAATTGAATATAATTATTTAAAAAGTAAGACAAGTGAATATACGATTTTATTGATAGTATGGGACTTTTAACATCCAAATTACATTGTAAAAAGACGATTAACTATTTTTCTTGCGGTGTGGATTGAGAACTTCTACCATCTGTTATTTTTATATTACATTCTGTAAAATGGACAAATCATATAAAATAAATCGAGAAAAATGTTATTTTAATTATCAAACTGTATCTTAATCTTGAACTCTCAGAATTACGCCTTATTCACTTTTTTAATAAATATCAATACAGAAATAGCAGATATATGTATATATATATATACAAAAAATCCAGGAATTTTTATCAACAATTATTTATGTTGATAAATGGGGTCTTTGCCTTGAAATGACCTTATGCGAAACTTGATTTTCAAGGCAAAGACCCCAAATGTTGATAAAAATATAATAAATTGTCCTAGCATTAGACAAAAATTCATAACCTTGATAATATATTTTTTTTACATAATTCTTTCGATATTCACATAATCTCTATAACCAATAACTTATTCAACCAACATTTATTATTTATCTACCCATTTAATGATCGCAATCTGTTCTTTTTTATCTGTACATTCTACTTATTTAAAGTTTTAGTGTTAATCAGATTCATTCCCATCACGAACTGGTTTTCTTTTGACAATAAAAATCTGCCCATTCCGATGATAAACTGTTACTTCAAGAAATCTGTAAACCTGTAAATTATAATTGAATAATCAAAAAAAAAAAAATCTAACATCCATCATATTCACAATTTGCCCAATTCATGAAACGGATAACTCGCAAAAGAATATAAAGGCAAAAAACGAAAAAAAAAAGACAGAAGAACGTTTATACTTTATACATAAATGATTACCTGCTCTATGTTGTCATACTTCGAAGGTTTAGATAATTTAGAGTCCAAATTATAAATCTCGGGTATTTTACCATCATCACTAAAGAACGGTTTAACAGCGATCCAATGATTAGACGACCAGAAAACGAGACGAGAAGACTGAATGTTTAAAATAATTCCAAAAAGAGTTGGATCCGTAAATTGAATGACTGTTCGAATATCTATATGCATTATTAATTAATGCTAGAACAAATATATATTAATGATAATATCTTTTAACAAAAAATCATACCTTTTCTAGAATCAAACCATTGAATTTCCAAACCATATTGTTGTAAAGCTACTTCCAAAACATTAATATCATAATTGCCAATACCTCTATTTTAATAAATCAATCAAGATATTATTATTAGAATTATTAGAATGCTAATTTATTATTGCATTTTTTTGATATATAGATAATTAAAATGCACTCACAAAACGCTTTTATGTGGATTAATCAAGAACAAATTTAAACTTTTAATACTTGGTCCGGTATCTTTGGACAGATTTAAGGCGATATCGTCAAGTTGTTCTTTGGAAAATGCTTTATTTTGAAGCTTGATCATATATAAAAAAAAAAAAAAAAAAAAGTGACATAAATAACAGGTCGAGAACTAGTAATATAGTGGTTCAAAAAAAAACTCACTAAATTATTCAATGTGTGCTAATATTTTGAATACGTAATTTAGATTAATTATGGGAATATATATAATAATTTCAGAGATAAACGATTTTTTTTTTTCTTAATATCAAACTAACTTGACCACAAAACCATAATTTTTGTCTCTCATGATATATTTCTTTCGTTTGATATGTTTCTTCCATAAACAATGTATGAAATGAAAAGTTAGGTGATACACGTATTTTTTGTTATATAACAGTATTATATGTATAAATTCGTAACGTCGATCACGTTATTAAATTATCTAATTCATTTTTTTAACAGGTTAATGATTAAACAGTTGGCCAATCAGTTCATTCTATACTAACACGCGTGTAACGAGAGTGATGTATTACTGTATTATTAATTGGTTGTCAATACTTTTAGTAATAACATACATTCGATCATATGAAGAAGTCTCTAACAAATCTGATTATGTAAAAGCAAGTAAACGCCAAGAATAAAATTCCTTTAAAGATTATTCTGCTTATTTGTAAGTACGTAAGAATTTATTTTTGTCAAAATTGTATACGTATAAATTTTTATTACTTATCAAATATTATTTAATACTGTAGCAAGTAATAAATTTAAATATCGATTCTGGAAAAATTTAATATCAGATATGATATAATCCGATTCGTTAACATTTTTCGACCAATCAGATGGATTACTAATCATTGAAATTTTTTTTTTTTGCGAAAATTTGGTATAACTTGATTCCTCTACTATGTGACCTTAAACTAAACTTGGTTATAGTATATAATGCAACGATGCACGATTTTTTTTAGTGAACCTAAAAACCTAAAAAAAAAAATGTTGGTACATGTGTACAAATGTGACATTTTTTAATTTAGCTTTATATCAGATATCATAATTAAGAATGATCTTGATGTGTCACAATCTTTAAACTCTCCAATCATTTCTTTAAATTCTTCATTCACTTTTCACTCTTTTCCACTAATTACGTTTGTTGTAGGATTGAATAATACGTATATAAAATGGGTCAAAATAAATCTCGATATAGTGGTTTTAAAAAAAGACGTTTATCTAGTAAAGCTAAAGTTGATGAGAAACAAGTTAAATTTAATGGTTTCATTGTTAACCCTGATGAATATGTATGGAAAAGTTGCACCTACACTGACGAACAAGTGGGAAGCTCTGACTTGAATGAAGAAGCTCTTAAAAAATATTCGTATATATCATTATCGAAATATTGATTATGCTATAATATTTTATAAATTGTCAAAACAATCTTTTAATTTTTTCTCGTTAATAGGATTAAGTTTAATGCTGATCCAAAGAATAAATTGGCATTAAATGCCATTTGTAATGATGATATGAATAAAGTTTTGTTGAATCGAGAAGTAATAATTATAAAATGTTTTAAATAATTTATCATAAATGATTACATGAATTTGTCATTTTAAAAAAATTATTTTATTTTTTATATAATAGGCCACTATTAACGATATTCATGTCTTTTCTGAGAAAATTCAATTGGAGGGTAAAGCTACTAATCAAAAATCTTCTGGACGTTGCTGGCTATTTGCCGCTACCAATGTATTACGTTTATCAATTATGAAAAAGTATGTATCTAATATTACATGATGTTTAAAATCTATAAATATTTATCATTATATTATTAAAAAAAAAAAAATTTATTAGATTCAAATTGGAAGATTTTGAATTATCTCAATCTTATTTGTTCTTTTATGATAAGCTTGAAAAGGCGAATTGTAAGTAATTTTTTTATATATACATATTCTTATTCTTATTAAAATTAAAATTATTAAAATTAGAATTAAAAATTTATTTTTATAAAAAGATTTCCTCGAGAATATGATCGAGCTCGCAGACCAGGATGTTGAATCACGTCTAGTTCAATATTTGATTAGTGCTCCGGTTAACGATGGTGGTCAATGGGACATGGTAATTAACTTGTTGGAAAAATATGGTGTGGTTCCAAAAAGTGTAAGTATTATTAAAATGTGTCAATTTGATGAATTCATAATAATTAAAATTAATTTTATCATAAATTATAGGTATTCCCTGAAAGTTATAATTCATCTAATTCAGCAAAACTTAATTGGATTGTCACAACTAAACTTCGAGAATTCGCTCATCAATTACGAGAAATGTATGCTTCTGGAAAAAGCATTGAAATGTTACGACATATCAAAGCTCAAATGATGGAAGAGATTTATCGTATTATTTCAATTTCTCTTGGTGAACCTCCTAAAGTGTTTGATTGGACTTTTAGAGATAAAGATGGAAAATATCGTGAATTCCTTGAATTGACTCCGAAAAGGTTTTACAAAGAATTCATCAATTATAAGGTAGAATACTATTTATCGGTATTTAATAAAATACTTAATGTTACCATTATTCTAATTTCTTTTCTCATTAAAATAGGCAACTGAGACAATTTCCCTCGTGAATGACCCTCGTAATCCTTACTTACGTCTTTATACGATAGAATTCCTTGGTAACATCCAAGGTGGCTTACCGATTCGTTACGTAAACATTCCGATTGAAACAATGAAAGATTTAACTATCAAAGCTTTACGATCTGGAAAACCAGTTTGGTTTGGTTCCGATGTTGGAAAGGCTAGTGATTCTTCATTAGGAATTCTAGACAATAAACTTATTAATTACGAATTAGGTTTCAATATTAAATTTGCCTTTACAAAAGCACAAAGATTACAGTATGCTCAAAGTTTAATGACACATGCTATGGTTTTTACTGGTAAATTTCTTTTTTTTAAAAAAAAAGATCTTGTTTTTTTTTTATTTTTATTAATTATATGCATTTCAAATCATTTTATTAACTTTAAATAGGTGTTCATCTTGAAAATGACAAGCCTATTCGTTGGCGTGTTGAAAACAGTTGGGGAAATGACCGAGGAGAGAATGGATATTTCGTGATGGCGGATGGATGGTTTGATGATTGGGTTTATCAAGTTGTGTTAGAGCAAAAAGACGTGCCTAATGAATATGTCGAAATCTTGAATCAAACACCAAAAGTTTTGCCTGCTTGGGATCCAATGGGTTCCCTAGCTACTGAACTTTAAAATTTTGTCATTATTTAAATTTCTTTTCTTTTTCTTTTTGCAAACCATATGTAATAATTAATAAGCTTCTTTTATATATAGTTCAAGCAAACTATTGAAAAAAGATTAATTTGGATATAAATCATTCTTTTACAATAGTTTTATATTAAACTTTTAATGTACAGTATATGCACACACACATGGACGAATTTAATTAAATAAAGTTTGTCTATCTAAGGATGATATTTTCTTATTAATGAATTTGTAAAGTCATACGAGCAATAGCTTTTTTTCGTGGTTCTATATCATAGATTAAACATTTTATTTGTTTCTTTGATAGCTCTTGATTATACAATTATACAATTATATTATATTACCGTATTTTCGCGAAATAACGCACATGGGGCGTTATTTCGAAAATCGAATTTTCTTAAAATATCATAGTTTCAAAATAACGCCCATACGCGTTCCGAAATAACGCGCATCCACTTTAATAATAAGTATTTAGAGATCAACTTTGGTATAAATTTGATCTTTTATTTCGAAATAACGCACATGCGCGTACTCGAATTAACGCGCATGGATTCGAAATAACATGCAGGTGGGCGTTATTTCGCGCAAATACGGTATATTTTTTTTTATAATATAATGGTATAGCAGACTGTAACAAAAGTTCAATATATATATATATCTAGAAAATTATAATTTAAATCTTATATTAAATGGTTTTGAATATATTTGATGTTTTTAAAATAGTAATAAAAAAATTGATCCAAAGATTATATATACCAGTACATAAAAATCCAATAGGTCAAGTTTTTTTAAAAAAAAATATAAACGGATGGATTAATTTTAGAAATTATTAAATAATTTTTGCATGTAGACACCCTTAATATTTTCATATTTGGAAATCTGCATAGGTAAATACATGAGTTAACTGGGTTAATTATATTGAATAAATGAATGCTATATAAATGCGAGAATGTGTTTACGTTATTTTTCTGTAAAAACATAATAATAATAATAAAATGTTTAATTAAAATGTCTAGAATTGATAAAATTTGATACTTTAAACTGATGAATGGATATATCCGATAGTCTTTAGTTAACGTAACAAGTATTAAAATCATTTTTATTGTTCTCTCTCATTTATTTAATTTACCTGAAACTACCGGTAATTAAATTTGAACACCAATTACTTCAATATTATCGATACTATTATTACTTTGATAATTAAATTGCTTATTAAAAAAATCACTATGTCTACTAAAGTCAAAACTTTGATCAAGTTCAGATTCATACCCTTCATCCTCTTCTGAAAAATATTTATCAATAATATTATACGCAAGTGAATGAATTTCATCATTCTCATGATTTTGTAATTCATTTATTCTTTCTACTCCTCCCATTTCTTCAATCAATAACGTACATTGATTCTCACAATTATTTTCTATTGCAAGTGTTTTCCCAAATTGAAGGATGGTCCCAATAGCTTTTAATACCACACAAATAATATCATTGTCCATATAATTAAGCATGTTGACTAACGGTCGAATACATCCTTGTCGCACAATACATATAATCAATTCTGGTCGGTTATAACATCTTCTTATTGCATTATATACAACATAACAAGTCTCTTTTTGTGTTTGAAAATCAGAATTCGCCATGAGATTTATCGCCAATGATATTAAACCAACATGGATAACATGTTCAATTTGATCAATATTACCAAATGTTATGTGAGAAAGAATAAAGCATGCATCTTTTCTGATTGAAGATTTTGTGCTAACTAATAAAGATTTTAATACTGTAAGAATTCCACAGTCAATAATTACTTGACGTTGTGAATCATTACCGGAAACAATGTTCCGAACGCAATGCAAAGCAGAAACCTGAATATCATTATTATCATGTACCATTAAATTTACAAGATGTGGTGAAACACCTAAATTAATCACATCTTCTATATGATTATTGTCGCAAAGGTAACTTAACGCCCAACAAACATGATATAAAATCTCATCGTCCTTAAAGTTAATAAGTTGAGCAAGAATAGGAAGTGTTAAAGAAATCTGTGACCAATCTGAATCAGTAATATGATCACGATATATGGATGAAAGAGTCCATGACATTGTACGTAACATTGAACAAGGTTGATTATTAACATCCAGAATATGTTGACATAATACACCAAGATTACCTTCACGTAAAACTAGCTCACGAAATTGAGGATTATCAATAACAATATTACCTAATGCCCATAAAATAAGATCTTGAAACCTCATATCTGTTGTTTTTTTAAGTAATTCCATAAATATCGGAATCATACCAGCATCAATTATGGCTTGAATTTGTTCAGTTGATCCGGTGGAAATATTTGATAAAATCCATACAGCTTCATATCTTAAATCCACATTTTTTGAAGACAAAAATTGAATAAACATAGGAATCATACAATAATCAATTATTTCTTGAATTTGAATTTTACGTTCTCTACTCAAAAATTTTCTAAATTTAGTGAGTGAGATTAATTGTATCTCTACATAATTTGAATTCAACCCTTCGAATAATTCATAAAGTTGTTGTGGTATTGATGAAATATTATTGTATTGATTAATTTCTTTAAGATCAGTTAATTGTTTAATATTATTTCGCCTTGGAACTTTTGAGATATTTGAATATAATTCATTTTTAAAATCATTATTATATTGATTTAAATCTTTTTGATAATTACGACGTGCTGTTAAAAGTTTTTCTCGACCTTGTCTACGAATTTCAATTTGTAATTTTTGACGTATTTGAATTAATTCTTCAGTTTTTAAAGCATATTGATTTTTAAAAATTGATTTTCTTTGTTCTCGTTTTTGGTTCATTTTTGATTAGTGTTGTTAATATATATAAGTTATATATATATATATATATATCAATATATAATTTTTTTTTTTGTGTACGTATAGTTTGATAACGTAACAATGTTTTAATAAAATTTAACTGTAAATAACAAAAAAAAAGTTTGATTAAATTTTTTTTTTTTCCTCCCCTCAGTCATACACCAAAACTTCCGAAAATTGAAGCATTTACGGTATTTATACTTTTTTTTTTATCAGGTTAATGATAAAAAGATATGCGTCACACGTACATATTCCAACTTGCTTGTGATTGTAATGACAATCTTGATTATTGATGCTCGTGATCTAAGTTTTTTCTACCCTAAAAAACAAGTCACGGCTAGGTTAAAAATGTAATTGTCCAAAAATATCTCATTAAATGATGCTCAATGCCGAAATAAGTTATTTCTTTAACGTTTAAGGAATCATTTATTTTACTTTGACATAAAAAAGTCTTTAAAGCCGCAGTTTTCTTTTTAGAAAATAGGCTTTTGAGATAGGTCAGACCATTGTCGTGTTAGGATAATGTAGTACGTATGCATAGGTTACCTTTGTTCACCCCCCCAAAAATTGGTTTAATTAAAATTAAAAATGACTCGTATGTACAGTACATACATTACATATATATCTGATATCGATGAATTATCGATGAAAAAAAAAAAAAGAAATTTTTATAACTATAATATAATTTTTTTTTTCTATTATCGTTATATCAAATTTAGGAAAATTATAAAGTCACAAAGGGTATAATTTTGGTTTACCCTAGGTCAGTTTTTGCAAATTTTTGAAAATCCAGATCAACTGTGTCACTTTTAATTTATACGATATGCCAACGATATCTGGTACAGTATCTACATTACGTAGTGTTAGTGGTCTGCATACCAAGCACATGCACAAAGTAGCTTGACCTACCCGGTACTTTCCTATGAATCCTCGTAAGCATCGCCTGCGCCAGGCACTTTGTGCCCAACTTAAAAGTATAAAACAATTATAATAGTACGAACTATGACAAGCTAGCGTAGATATAAAGGTGCCTGACACTTTGTGCCCACGGGCAACTTTGTGTCTAGCTAGGCACTCTGTGGGCATGGGCTTTTTTGTGTCTGGCCTAAAAAGTATTGACACCTTTGTACCTACGGTGTATATGGTGGTGCAGGCATTTGCAGACTCCCAAGTACATAAAATTGGAACCGAAATCATCGTATCAATTCGTACAGTACGTGTAACATTTTTTAATCAAATATTGAAATTAAAGTGATAAAGACTCTTGTATTTAAGTTTTCCAAAACACTTTTAAATTCAGAGTTGACATTTTGGAAAATTTTTATCCTGTTCCTGTCCATTGCTCAATTAGAAATTTTTATACCAATTTGTTTAATTACGTAGAAATTTTTTTATTACGTACTAATTTGTTTATAACTAATAAGTTGAAAATTACCGTATCGGTATCCTATCGTGAAATATCAGAATAAGCATCCTTTTTAAAATTTTAAGGTCAAGTTTCTCAGAATCTAACGATAAGAAATTCGGACAATTTTATATCATTTAACGTTAATCATCCCAGTAAAATAATCTGAATAGTATTAAAATTATCCGACTTCAATCACTGGATTATGAGAAATTTGACATCAAAAATTTAAAAAGGAAGTGCTTTATTCATAAAGAAAAAATAATTTTATATGTATGAAAAAAAAGATGTCCGTTTTCCAACAATATTTTATATATTGATAATCAAAATTCCAAGAATGTTTAGTGCGCCTTCTCTAAATTAATTCCACTTTGGCTTAATCTTAAAACGGTAAGTTAAGTCTAGGAGTTAATATTGTATTTTACTAATCTATTTTCTTGTATTTTCATATTATTACTTCGTTTGGTTACGGTAATATTTTGTCTTTGAGCCAGGAACGGTGTAGTGACTAAAGTATAGATGTGTGCCTAAATTATTTGAACAAAAGTAGTTTCATATTGAAATATTACTATAATATTTGAGAGTTGTCCTTTGACGTTTTTGAGACATCAATTTAGAATACTCTGAATGAAATTTCTGAGAGCGTTAAAAAGATCGTCCAATATTGATAAATATTTTTCGGCAAATATAAATTAATTTCGGCAACTATAAAAAACTAATTTCGGCAAACTAAAAATGCCGAAATAATTAATTTAAGCATACGTTTATAGATTAAAATCAAATTCTGTAGAGATTAAAACAAATTCAGTGATGTAATATCTTTATATCTTTACCATGTTGAGAAAAAGTACGTACGGCATGTCAAATAGTATGCTTATAACTGGTCAAAATTTTTTATTCTGACCTAGTGATGCAAGCAAATCGCTGTAACTTAATTACAATATCAGATATACGTACGTACGTACGTACGTAAAAAAGTTACGACAACAATGTTTTTAATAACGAATATAATGTCGTAACTAGTGATGTAATTACACCTATTCTGATCCGTACTCTTATGTTATCCATTCAACTCTTCTTATTCGATTGACTCATTTCTGTGATTTTTTTTATGTAATTCATTACATTCTGTAATATTCTGCAGTGACTTAGTATTCTGCCATGTAGGCTTATTTCTTATTATTTAATTGGTGGAAACACAAAAAGGTGAATTTAAAAATTGGGGTAACGGTAAAGAATCCGCATTTAAAGACTTGAAACAAGAATTACTAATTTAGTTAGGCTTGAAATGCAGTTATCGTTGTTATAATTTGTTATAATTAAACCATTCAACATAATATAACAATGCACGTGGAATATCTTAATATAGAATTACTGTAGCTGTTGTACAATTTTAACAAATAATTATAATATAATTTGTTTGCAGCGTACCTAAGAATTTTCTTTTTTAAAATCTATTTTCTTTCTTTAACTTGACAAATTATATTAAACAAGCTATTCCAAAGATTTTTAGGAATGGATTCCGTATGTTATATTTTTTGAAGCTTTTTATCTAAAGAATTATTGTGAATTGCATCATTAACTTTTTTTATTCTGGTTGACTTAGTCTTATAATTTTCAACAATCTCCTTTAATTTCGCAAAATTCTCCTTCAAATTCTTTAATGCTTCCGAATTCACCTCCCTATTCAACTTCCCCGATTTCTCCTCCTAAATCTCCCTTGATGCCACCGAACTTGCCTCCTAAATCTCCTTTGATGCCACCCAACTTGCCTTCAAAGTCTCCAAGTGTACCTCCAAGATCTCCTTTGATGCCTCCAACATCTCCTTACATGTCTCAAAATTTGCCTCCAAACTCTCCTTATATGCCTCCTGGTTTACCTTCAAAATCTCCTTATACTTCTCCTAATTTGTCTCCGTCAAATCCGGCATCAATTTTCCCAAAATCTTCTGTAATATCATCTAATTCATATGGGAAATCAGATACTAGTCATTTAACTATCCTTATTGAAACTGAAGAGGAATATTTGATTGATTTGAAATGTTTATTACAGGTTTAACAATAAATAAATATTTTAATATACCGGTATTATAAATTTATTTTCATTCCAAATAAATAAATTAATTTTTTTTTTTTTCATTATCTAACAGCGAGTTACTGCAAGTTGGAATAATGAACATCCACCTCCCAAAAAATTAGATGGCATGTTTTGTTTAATTGATAAAATTTATAGAGGAAATCGAGAATTCTTTCATGTTCGTATTTTAGTTATTATTTTTTTTTTTATATATAAATTTTAACTAATATATTATTTAGGAAATAAAAAAGTCAAATCATTTTAACCATAATTCTAATTTGCTAATCCAATATTAGAAACTTAAAAAGTTCAAAAATGATCCACAATCATCACAAAGTCTTGTTGACATATTAATGAATTGGGTAATTAATATTACTTATTTTTATTTATATTGGTACATAAAAAAAAATGCTTGTTATATTTACATAAATGTCCTGTATTTGTTGTCCGTTAGATTGATAAATTGGAAAAGCCATATACAAACTATTGTCAAGGTTATGTACGAGGCATTGAATCATTGCCTGAGATTGAAGGAAATATGAATTTGCAACAAACGCTAAATGTAAATTATTAATTTGTTTTATTATATATATATATATGTATTTTTTATATTTTATTTTTGTAAAATATTGATTATATATATATATATATTTTTTTTTTTAAAAAAAAAAAATTTATTAAATTTATCTATTTTAGGATATCTCATCAGAGAGAAACCAACCCAAGACTTTGAGCTCCTTTTTCGAATTACCATTGAAGCGAATTCACTTTTATAAAAAATTTTACACAGTTAAGATAATAACCATTAAAATTTTCTTGAAATAAATATTTTATCGATAACTTATACAACTTTTTCTTTTTTTTTTGCAGCGTCAGCTTAGGAATTCGGATCCTGGAAGTTCGGATAGTATGAATTTTACGGATGCAATTAAACGCATTGATCTACTTATTGATGTAGAAAAACGAACCAAGAACTCTCAAAGCTCAAACAATGTTTTACCAGTATCGCCAACCCATCAACCTTTATCACTGTTAGATAATTCTCATAATGACGTGGAAAAGCGAGCCAGGAGCTCGCAAGGTTCAAAATCAGATTATTCTCAAGAAGATATAGACTACTCTAATTCTCCGGATTCATCCTACCTGGTACAAAATGTTCAGACATTGTCAGAATTGCAACCTGTTTTGGATACAACAAATATTGAGGATTTTATCACAAATAAACCAAAGGTAACAATATATATATATATATACATTCCTTAAAAATATATATTCTTAAAATATATTTCTTAAAACATATTTATTCTTTATCACACAAAATTTTTCCAGCCAATGAAAATTGATCTTCTTCCTCCACGTCTTCCTTTTAATCGTGAACTAATTCTTAGCGGCGAATTTACTATAGTATATGAAAATGATGAATCAGATAATTCACCTCAAGTTTCTGTCAAGGCAAAATTATTTTTACTGACAGATCTCTTATTAATCTGTCAAATATTAAGCCCAGATGAAAAACAATTTAACCCTAGTAAAGATTATTGTTTATTATTTCCACCATTTAGTGGAAGGCATTTATCTATTATTGACAACTATGATGAAAAAAGAGGTTTGTTCAGTACTTGAATAACATTTTAATTTAATTGAAAAAATGAAAATAATTAAAAAATTATTTATTTAATAGAATTGATTCAATTAAATTTTATGCAAAAAAAGGATTTAATAATTCTGGCAGAGAATCGTGAACAAAAGGAAATGTGGTTACATGAACTTAACACGATGATAAACTTTACAATTCAAGCTGGTAGGTATTTTATAAAACTTAATTTATATATGGTAAAATAGTAATTTGAATTAACATTTTTTAAATAATTATTAATAGCTAATTCAAGACCGACGTCAAGACCAACAAATATACATAGTCCTCCACTAAGTGCATATTATCCACCAAATTTGCATAGTCCTCCACTAAATGCACATTATCCACAAAGTATGCAAAGTCCTCCATTATTGCAAAGTCCTCCACTAAATCCTTATAATCCACAAGATATGACAAGTCCACGACTATCACCTCAGTATCAGCTTAGTCCACGACTTTCAGCACCTCAGAATTCACAAAGTCCTCAGTTATCAGAACAAACACCACATGTTAAAAAAAGTCTAAGCACCGGTAATCTACCGGGAATTAATAAACCACCACCTCCAACGGGACAGCATATGTCACAACCCCCATCTAATTATGGGCAAAATGAATTAAATGTTACACAGTATGAAAGGTTTCCACGAACAGCATCAATTCGGTCTGAACGTTTAAGAGAAGTAGAGCAGAAGGTTATGAGATTAATGGAAGCAAAGTGTAAAGTATTCTTGCAAAAGGATCATGGAGTTTGGAAAAATTATGGATGGGGAGATTTAAAATTAGATTTAGAATCACCATCTCGAAATAAAAGAATTATTATTGACGTAGATAAACCAAAAATGTCAAGATTTGTAGATGCAATTGTTTCTGAATCAGGAGTTCAAAAAACAGGAAAATGTAAAGTAGCAATTACAGTAACAAATGAGGGTTCTCCTATACCAAGTATTTATATGATGCAATTGAAGGATGATAATTCTGCCAAAAAGTTATATGATTATATAAAAAATAGATCATAAATTTATTGAGAACATTATTATTATTATTTTTTTTTTATCATCCAAATTTATTATATATTTAATTCAATTTAATGTATTTACATCTGGGAACTTGTTAATATTTAGATATATGTAGTTTTTTTTATTCCTAAATTAGAATCATATTTATCGCTGGGCAGCATTTATTTTATTTTATTATAATTAAATAATATTTATTATCGATAAAAACTGTAAAAAGAAAATATAATCTAATATCAAATTTTCGATCGAGTGAAATCACAGGATAACCTTATTTTTTACCTACCGCTATAAGATCGATAAATCGAATTTGTAGCTGTTTAATCGGGGGATCAACATGAATGTTACCCTGTCATTATGTAATAATTCCACAATCAAGTATGGTATTTTTAGATTAACTAAAAATAGAAACTAATAAGTTCCGTGCATCTTTTGTTCAATTTAAAGAAAAAAAAAAACTATCAATTGATTTTTGGTTTGTAACACATAATTTATAAATCATTATGCCAAATGACCGTAAATTAACCGGAAGAGGTGCATATTTTTTAAATTTCATTGGTATTTAACGAATTATAACGCTTAAATTTATTATTACAAATAAATATGTACGTGATGCAGATGTTCGATAATCAAAAAAAAAAAAAAAAAGAATTCTAATCGAAAAAGGATTGATTCAATTTTTTAAAACACAAATTAAAATGCATGCATATATTTATAATTACTAGTGTTGGCGCACTAAAAGCATTCATTAGCGATAACGATAAGGAAATTGTTTTTTTTTTATACAAGTTACATAAAAAATTTTTTTCTAATTAAATATTCAAATATAATAGCAAATATTGTGGTAAAAAAAACCAAACATAGTAAATTAATATTAAACATTCTAAATTTTATTATTAAACATTCTGAATAGAGCAATAGACGGGAGTAGGCGAAATTAGCTAATGGAGCACCAAAATGTCAACACTGTACATATATAGAAAGTTCTCATATTCATTTATGTCTATTGTTCTTCTTTAGTGTTACGTAGTAGTTTTGATTAAGATTTGTTAAATATTTACATGAATTAATATTAGCAAAACTTCATATATAATTATTGACATGCTTCTTAGTCAACATTAATCATTCCATGCATATCGATACGTAGTATTTGGTAAAGCCTTAGCCGCAGGTTTATGTAATAGCTCATGTAACCCGAAGGTAATTATATATTCATTACTCTATAAAAAACAAAGTCCAGGTCTCACTCTAAAAAAAAAAAAAAAACGCAGAACAATCGAGTAAAATTTGATTGTGTAAAATTATTACACATTTATGGTCTGTTATACAATTTTTTGATTTTAAAAAAAAGTACGTATAAACAAACATTTCAAAACATCAATCAATCATTAACTAAAGTAACTTTAGTGTAAATATCATGTCGTTTTTGTAAAGTTAAAGGAATCGATTGACGAAAAGATTTCATATCATCTAAATCTTTTAAAAAAATAATTAATTAAATAATAATCGTTAAAACAATGAAATAGATATCATAACCTTGTTCACCATAAGTGAAATATAATTTTTATTACCAATATCCGCGTAAATAGTGGCTTCTTCATGATCAGTAGTTGCAATTATAGTACCGCTGTGAAATTTTTAAAGTTTATCTATTAAGCCTATTTAGGAAATCTGTAATATTAGGTAAAGTAATACTTACTGGGGACTCACAACAGTCGAATGGCCCCATGCAACATAGCTTGCATTTGTATCACGTGCAGGAGAACAGGTTACCACGTAAAACTGGGATAATTAAAAGTTATTGGTTGTTTTAGCCAATAAATTCAAATTAGAAATTGGTTTTACCTGGTTATCGAGAGCCCTTGCCTTTTGTAAAACTAGGTATTTAACATAATAAATATAACAAAAGATTTTCTAAAAAAATACACCTAAAATGTTAATGTAAAGACAACTCACGTTCCCAATATAAAGGACCTGTAGTCATGTTAAAAGCTCCTGGATAAAACATTGCAATACATCCTACAAAAAACACAAAACAAAGGAAATTATGTTTATGACATTAAAAATATTTACATTTATATTAATAATTCATTTAACCTTTTTGAGCAGCAACCATGGCCATTTCTGGAAACCTTATATCATAGCAGACTCCCACTCCAATCTTACCAAATTCTAAATTGCTCAAAAAAAAAAAAAAAAAAAAAAAGAATCAAAATCAAAATCAAAAAATCATATGGGAGGAAGTCAACAGAATCCAGGCAAATTGTTTTTATTAAAATTTTTCTTGAACTTTAAACTTGAATATCTCAACAAAAACTTGACCAATTTTGATTATTTAGTATTCATTTAAATTCTACAAATTTGTAGAATTTAAATGAATACTAAATCATCAAAATTGGTCAAGTTTTTGTTGAGATATTCAAGTTTAAAGTTCAAGAAAATTTTTAATAAAAACAATTTGCCTGGATTCTGTTGACTTCCCCCATATCATTAATTTTAATGCAAGAAAAAAAATATCTATATATACTAGTATCAAAATGTGTTAGAGAATTTCCGGGACTTATAGAATCACTCTCTTTGAATGTCATCTTGCCAGGAATGTCAATGTCAAATAAATGAACTTTACGATGTTTTGCAATCAGAGATCCTAATCAAAATAATATATAAATATTTAAGCTTTTTACGAATTATATACTTAATAATAAAAAAAGTTTAAACTACCCTCCGGATCATAAACAGTACATGTATTATATAATTTGCCAGTAGAATCTTCCCGTTCCGGAATAGAACCTTTAAAGGAAATACAAAGATTAATTACATTTTTAAATTAATGCTTTTTTCTAATAAATTAATACCTCCAATTATATAAGCCTTGGATTCCTAAAATGCGCCAATTGAATTATATATATTAATTAGATTCAAAAATAAAATAAAAAAAAAACTAATTAACAATATATTTATTATCTGCTTACCTTAGCGGCTTCGGAAAGAACTTTCACACTTTCACCATTAGGAATATTTTCAGCATATTGATCAAAATATTTAACTCCATATAACGAATTAAAACATTCCTATAAAATAATTCAATAAATTTTTCATTCTTTTACCAGTTTACGTTATAATTATATAAAAAAAAAGTACCGGTAAACAAATTATCTTTGCACCATTTTTCGAAGCTTCTAAAATTTTATTTTTAGCGTTTATAAGATTCTTAGATTTATCGGATGAAACAGCTAATTGAATACAAGCAATTTTAAAAGACATGTTTAATGATGAAAATTTTCGATTGGAATAATAAATTTTTTTAAAAAGATTCCCTTTAATGGGAAAATTTTTATTAGATTGTAAAATAAACCGATTTGATAATGAAATCATGATGTGTTCGAATTGACTTATAAAATATATATTGATATTGGTTAATTGGTCATATGATCTTAATTGGAGATTGACTAAAAAATCAGCTAAGCCGATTATGGGATGGCTAAAGCCAGGTAATAGATTGTCGGGGTTCGTTTTATTGGAAAATCTATAAGTGAATATCACTGTAGCAGACTTATCGTATTAAATTATAATAAGATACAGTGATAACCAAAATATTCACTTCTATGTTTTCCTTCTGCAGCACTCATTGATAATTATACAAGCGTTATAATCACGTATTTTTAGAATTAAAATCTATCGCTATGGAATCAAAATTAGCAAAGATGTCCAAAAATCACAAACATAAATACTTAATGTCCTTCATTCGCCTGGTGAGTATAAAGATAATCAACGATTATGTTGTACATATAAAATATATATAAGTTGCCGGATCGCATTTATACAATAACAGCTGAGTCCTGAGTGCTGTTTAGCATGCCATATGAGCGAATTGAAACACAGTGATTAGTAATAACAAGGTGATTAGGTTAGGTAGACTAGTGTCACATGAAAAATTGGGTTCCGAGCTTTCTTTCGAATATACATAACTTAGCCGCAGCTCAATTTCACGGCTAAGTAGATCTTTGCCAATTATAGAGATTCCGCGCCTTAAAGAGCAGTATTGCTTTAATCGCTTTTAAGGATTTTTATGGCCTTAAAGTGATTAAAGGATGATTGTTCAGATAAGTAATTTAAAGTATTTAAGTAATATAGGGTTTTTAGAAGAGATAAGTATTATAGAATTTTTTTTTTTTTTAAAAAATTCAGCAGTCATGCTATGACTTTATTTAGGTTTGTTCTTCATAAAAGAAACTACATTATTTAGTTTTTATACTATCTAATGCCTAATTTTTTAAGCTTTGACTCATCCAGTTATCCTATAAATACCTATATACAATCTGCTATAGTAACCTTTGTTCTATACTCAAGTAGTTTATAATCTATAAACTACAACTCAGTATAGGAAAGACATTACAGCTTATCATAACTAACTTAAAATCCAACTATCTGAAATTCTTTTCTTTATTTTTCTAGCTATACTATTTAATGCTATTTTAAAATTAATATTACAATTTTCTATATTTTCATCTATTCAGCAGTTTGTTTTTTTCCTTGTAGAGCTTTTTTTTTCTTTTTTTCCTTTTTAGCATATTTTTTCTTTTTAGAAATCTTTTTTTTTCTCTTATGCTTCTATATCTTTGCATCAGTTTTTTTAGACTTCCTTGTAGAACAGTTCTATTCAAATATTCTAAAACAGGCTTCAAAATTTAGTCATAATATCTTCAGAACTAATAATATTTTTGATTTTTTCTGCATTTTCTTTGCTAAGAATATCTCTTATCTATTTTTTTCTTTTTTGTTGTTTCTTTTTTTGTTCATATTGGATAGCTTGATGTATGCTTGATAAGTTCTAATCTTCCTTCTTTCTTTTATCTTTATAGAGCCATTTTTATACTTTTTCTTTAATTCTTTCAAGTGTCTGATTTGTTTTTTCACATGTAATTAAATACTCAATTGTTTCTTTTTCTTTGAAGCATCTCTTGTATAAGTTGTTTTTGTATAATTAAAGTTTTCTATGATTTAAGGTTTCAATAGTTAGAAAAAGATTTTTGATGTATTTGGTTTTAAACAATCACAAGTAGTTTATTTCAGAATTTTAATATTGCTTATAGCAGCTTCTAAGTATACTCTTAAAAGCTTTCTAATCCTATTTTTGAATTCTTGTTTAGTGTTCCTTATCTTTTTTCTTTCTTAACTATATTCATTCTGCTTTGTATATCATTTGAACTGCTTTTTTAATGAAAGCTCTTAGTGAAGTTTCTAAACTTATCTTTTTCTATTCAGAAATATACTTATACTATTGTTACTAATATTATTCAGTTCTATACTATATGCTTCATATATTTCTTTTTTTGCAAGTATATCTACTGCATCATTATAGGTATTGTTATAAAATAGGTTTTAGCATTTTACTTAATTATTATATTTTTATATTATTAGATTTAGTTATTATCATTTT